GAATTATATCGCCTCGCATATATTCTTTCCCCATTAGGTGTTATGATTGAATATAACAATACACACAATTACAATGTTTCGTCCTGTTCAGCTAACTGGAAATTATTTCCCTAAAATAATTGAAGATGTTTACATCAATCAAGGACTTTTGTAGATTGCCGTTTTAATTCTAAAATTTGTTTGTATTCAATATTAATTATGACAATACCGAAAGTGAATATGAAACATATTTACTTAATGACGCTAAGTTTGTTAAATTCATACAATAACCGTTGTGTACATTCAAGACTGACCGTGTATCCATTAAAAAGTCTTTTAATGTTGTAAAAAATATAAGTGTTGACACATCTCGAAAAAATAATTACTCTAAGTTGTATTTTGATTGAAGCTATTGAAACTCATTTAGTAAAACATACCGATATCAACGTTCAGATGTTATCCTTACATATATGAACGAATAACAATGTAAATAAGTTGCAATGATTTTTAGAGGACTGGTAGAACACTTTAATATACTATATCATACAAAATACAACTTACCAATGCAGCATCATTGTGGACAAGAATTCAGAAAATCTTGGGTAGCATGGTATCCTAATTGCATGTAGATACCACCATATAATCCTACAACAAACCAGTTCTTACATATGGTTACATGTAGTATAACACGTTTTGGAATGAATAGATGGGTGGATTGATGAATTGATTGATGAATTGATTGATTTATTTTCGACAATGCAACGAGTCATTAAACTATTTTGGCCCTAAATTCACGGCTGTCGTTTGAATACCAAGCTAGCTAATCAGTAATCAAGCTATTCGTGGAGATGGGTCCCGTTGTGAATCCATCCTTGCACGACGCCGGTTTTGCCGCTGAAATGAGGGCATTGGTCGAAGGACTGTCGGGGCAAATTGCGTCCCTAGCAGGCAGCGCAGACCACCTGCAGGCAGAGCGAGCTTTCTCCACTGCAGCCTCTCAGCCGGCAAGTAGGAAGAAACACAGAAAGCATCGTTCCCATTCTAAACATGTCTCTTACGGGGAACCTCCGTTCCCAGTCGTGACACCCCCCACCTCCGCTGATTCGAGGGCAGAGGCTTGACCGAGTGGCAACAGGTCTCCTCGGGAACCTCAGACACGTAACACCAACAGGGACGCTGGTAGCCAAGGCTTCGTTTTCGGGGCAGAGCGTTCAGGTCAGGATATACATCGTACCTCCCCCCTCCCCCCTCCCGCTTTCAAACAGCCAGGGTTCACTGGGCGGCTCCAGACTGATTAATTTACCTTCAAGTCCGAGCTCCGCTGTGGGTTTCGACTCCCTTCTCGCCGACCCACAGGCGTTCCCAGAGGGAACCGACCCTGTCATGAGACGCACCCTCGAACACGCTCTCGCTCACATATTTAGGCTGAGAGGTGGCAGTTCGTTCGCATCGGATACAGTGGGTACCTCGGGCAGTCCCTCAGAATCCACATTGCGTAATACCACTGACATCTCCTCCGCCAGGGGATCCCCGCAAGGCGGAAGCAATCAGACAGGAAGTAGACAGTTTGCTAAGAAAGAGCGCCATACACAGAATAGTTCAGCAGGCACTAAGTCCGGGCTTCTACTCAAATGTATTCGTAGTACCAAAATCTACAGGCAGCTGGCGTCCGGTTTTGGACCTAAACAGACTAAACCAGTATGTGCTTCTCAATCCGTTCCGCATGGAGACACCATCCAGTGTTTCTACTCTCCATCCACCGGCTCGACTGGCAAGCCTCTTTAGACTTATGCGAAGCTTACCTGCACTCACCAATGCACCCAGCGAGTTGCCCGCTCCTTTGATTTGCCCATCTGGGCCAAGTATTCGAATTTCGGGTGCTCCCCTTCTGATTATCCACAGCGCCCTACGTGTTCACCAGAATAATGAAACAGGTAGTACTGCTGCTCCACCAAATGTCGGTACACATCAATCCGTACCTAGACGACTGGTTGTTACACAACCCAGACAAGGGGTTATTAGCCAGACATGTAGGGCTTACAAAGGATTTACCTCATCAGTTGGGCTTTCTAGTAAATCACAAAAAGTCCCATCTCGATCCGACTCAACAGTTGGTGTTTCTGGGCAAGGAGTTCGACAACGAAGTAGGCTTGGTTCACCCATCTCAAGCGCGTTGCCTAGCACTAAGCAATCTAGCAGAACACCTAGTCAGCGTTCCTTCAGTGTCCCTCCGAGAACTAATGCGGCTCATCGAAATGATGACCTCCGCTCGAAAGGTAGTTCCCCAGGCCACACTATGTAGCTGCCCGGTCCAACGCTTGTTATTGGAACCCCGAGCTCACCTACGGGAACTAAACAGGCGAGTATCGATCCCGGACCAAGTAAAGGAAACCCTGTCCTGGTAATCATCACTGACCAGCCTCAGACAGGGGGTCCCCTTGGACCCACTCGTCACAGCTATGACTCTGGCAACAGACGCCTCCCTCCAAGGGTGGGGAGCGCATCTATTGGACAAATAAGCCCAAGGAATATGGCCCCCGAAGTGGGTTTGGGACCACCATATCAACTGGCTCGAGCTGAAAGCAGTGCACCTAGCACTTTCACGCTTTCGATCCGAAGTGTGAGACCAGAGCCCTGCTTTGCACAGACAACACAGCGTTGGTCTCCTACATCAACAAGGAGGGGGGATGCGTTCCCCATCGTTGTCAGTCCTAGCAAAGCAAATTCTCCATTGGTGCCTGGAATACAAGTGGAGCTAACCGCACACCACCTTCCAGGTGTGAGAAACGGTCTGGCAGACGTCCTTTTGAGGTGTCTCAGTCTCCAGAACACGGAGTGACAGATCCCCCAGTGGGTAGCCGCCAGGCTGTTTGGGTGTGGGACGGTCTAAAGGTAGACCTGTTTGCCCGACCCTGGAACGTCAAGCTCCCAACGTACGTAACACTCCTGCCGACACCAGGAGCCTGGACACCTTATCGATCCCCTGGTCCCACATGGATGTGTACGCCTTTCCTTCCTTCCCGATAATTCACCGGGTACTGGAGAAACTTCGACAAGAGCCCACCTGCATATTAACTCTGGTGGCGCCCAATTGGCCGACCAAGGCCTGGTTTCCGCTCCTGCTGGAAATGATAGTCGAAACACCGGTAGTGCTACCAGACATACCGGACTTGCTGTCCCAACCGGATGGCACACTACCAACAAGCCCAGCAGTGTACCACTTACACGCATGAAGGCTCTCAGTAGACTCGTGCAGACGAAAGGTCTATCTAAGCAGGCTGCCAACGTCCTGGCCAGGGCGAACAGGGATTCCACCAACGCCGCCTACAACTCGAAATGGCAAGCATACACCAGTTGGTGCAGTGGAAGGGAGATTGATCCATGCCATCCTTCTATCGGCCAAGTAGCAGACTTCTTTGTCCACTTGTTTGACGAAGTGGGTCTGTCCTACACAGCGATCGTTGGCTACAGGTCAGCCTTGTCCCCCGCCATAGAAAACTCTTTGGGGTCAAGTCTAGCCGATTGTCCCATTATTAGGAGACTATTTACTGCTTTCCATAATCAGAGGCCAAGGGCCCATTCAAGGGAATCAATTGGGACCTGTCGGTTGTTTTATCAGCCCTAAGCAGACCTCCCTTTGAGCCCCTCGTTTCAGCACCACTCAAATTTTTGACGTGGAAAACAATCTTCCTACTGGCCCTCACCTCAGGTAGGGGCCGGTCAGAGCTAGACGCACTGTCTTTCGCCGACGGCTGTGCTGCCTTTATGGACGATCAAGTTGTACTAAAGACACGAATGTTTTTTTTTGCCAAGAACCAAATCCCAGGACACAATCCTCAACCAATCGCCATCCCCCGGCTGTCAAACATTGCCGGTCCAGAGGATCAGGAAGAATTGCTTCTCTGCCCGGTCCGAGCGCTGAGTTGCTACGAGAACCGTACCAGGTTTTCCAGACGGGGAACCAAAGACATGTTTTTGTGTTACGGCCCTGGCAAACAGGATAAGCCGGCTTTCCCGACTTCCATCTCCAGGTGGATTACTGCGACTGAACTGGAGGTCTAGAATACACTATTCTCCTCAACACAGACCTTGCAGAGACACCAAGTACGAGCACATGAGGTCTGTGCGATTGCTAACTCACTAGCGCTAGCGTCAGGCGCCCCACTTGAACACATCCTGAGGGCAGGCTTCTGGAGAACGCAGAACGTCTTCATCAACTACTACCTAAGAGACACCCAATCTATTGTCTGTATCACTAGCACTTCCAGGAAGCTCATGCGAACTGTTTCGGTCCTACTTCAAGCTTATCACCCCCTGAATTCGACTTGGGTCTAGCTTTCTCTGGCACACCAAACCCTGTCACCACAGCAGCATTGGCTTCTTGCTTCGGGGACAGCACAGGCAAGGTAAGACACCACCCTTCTTGGGTCTTAACTAAGGTTTTGAATTCGTTTTCATCCTGGACTGGGAAACGACTTTCATCATTTGTTTTCTGTTTGCTCGGAAAAACCGGCCACCTATCGGCGTCTGACGCCTACAGTTCAAAATAGTCATTTTGACTGACCAGAGTCTATGGTGGGTATGAACTATGTGAATAGGCGGGTTTAGAGTACCCTCGCCTAAATTCCACTTATTTGCATTTGTTGACAAATGTCTTTTGTGGGGTAGAAAATGTGAATACACAAAAAGCATAATTTTTCACATACAATGCATTCATATCCAATACATACTAACCAGTGAATTTCCAACAATTTTAATCAGTTTTATCATTTGTTTAACAAAAATGTTGATAACATTCATTTCGAATAATTGAACTAAAAATATAGTTCAAGGGAAGGCAAACATTGAAAAGCTCTGGTATGGCTGCTAAAAAGAACTTGCCCACATTATACCGGTATTACCATCAAACACTGCACTTTATTCCAATATATTGTCATTTCAATCTAACCATGTTATCGAGTTGCAACTGATGATTGCCAATAAATCTAATAATTACTATTATGCAAATTATATAATAATTTTATAATTGTTTTTTAATGATGTGGCACAGTTTTACGTGAAAAATCTATCTTAAATAGATCACCGCATCATTCTTTTTATAGCTGGTCTATGATCTTTGCATTACAAATGGAATAATTTAGACTTTAAGCTAAGTAGTATGTTAACAAATAATTGTACAACAAAACAAAACCGTTATTGGGATATACAGATAGAAGGAAATGACACAAAGACCTACAACCAGCCTTAAAAATTCCAGCTTTAAAACAGCTTCCATTTCTTGTCTTTAGCACAAGAGTTGTGTATAGAAACAAGAAAACAAGATGTACATAATTTCTATGTCTTGTTTTTATGCCTCTTGTCACTAAAATGTGTAACAATAATGTTTTATGATGTATTCAACGGTTTCATGGGAAGATAAAGGAATAAACCACAGTGCAATAAGCTTAAGAGATAATGCCTTGGGTGTCACATTGGTATCTGCTATAGGTATAGATCAGTTCATTCCAGTCCCATATCTCCTCTATTTGAGTCGCTGTACAATGAGAGAGTTCCATACGTCGGCTTCGATTAGTGTCTTGCTGTCATCTGTTAGTTCTCGATTTGGAAATGTGGTTTGTAGAACAAAAACTGTGCTAGAATACTGTGGGCGTGAACTGCGATGGACAAGTTAAGGAGACAATATACAGAAGAACATATTTACTACAAAAAATATCTTCGTTCAGTATTACATCGGGTACAATGTAGATGTATATACAAAGGCTGATAAATGCAGTTATAAACAAGTCATTGAAAATGACACAGTCCCCGTTAAATTTTTGAAAGTTCTCTTTGTGCTCGTCATAATAAAGTGGAGGGGTTGTCGTGGGCGTGTCTTTGAAACTTGAGTCCTAAGTGACGTATACAACAGAAAAACATAGATCACAAGTGAAAGCATGTCCAAGTTATCACATTTTAAATAAACAAGATGTCCGCGAGTCGGCCATATTTGATCAAATTGCAAATTGAATTGACATGTACATGTACCTATTTATGACATGCTAAATATCAATGAAAATGATACATGGGTGACAGAGATGTAGTAATATGGCCAAAAAAAAAACATTTGATCTTTGATCTGATTATGAAACAAAGTGACATGTATGATGTATGTGCCAAATACGAATGAAAATGGTACATAAATCTTGGAAATATAGTAGTAAGGCCAAAAAGTCAGATGGCTGTCAATCAGCCATCCTTGATCCGATTTGAAACAAATTGTCATGGACATGTATCCTAACATGTATAAAGTACATGTATGTGCCAAACTTGAATGAAAACTGACAAAGCATGTCAAAGATACCATATATTTAGCAATAATATTATATTGCAGATTGGTTTTATTTATGTGATAATGCAATAAAAATTGTTATACAATGGTTCCTTAAATTGTCTGCAGTGCTGATAGTTAGTTAGGAATGCAAACTTACCCTTTTGTAACAGAATTTTAACATGTACTGTCAAACGCTTGTAAATAATGTGGTGCCCTTAGTGGTGACTCAAGGGAATTGGATTACCATTGAAGGAATTACTCATGAAGGAGGCAGCTTTGGTGATGGGGTACAGGAAATCATGAGGGTCAGCAACAAATTTAGGCAAATTGTATGATGTTTAGACAACAGTTCCAAGTCAGTTTGTTTCAGTAGATGTTACAATTACAAGTCTTATTTTGATCACCAGTTAGTTATTCACAGTTTCTAGTTCAATTTGTGTTATTGTGAAAAAATTATATCTGTTTGCTATAAGTACTCAATTTAACTACAATTTTAATTCCTAAAGCTATAAGTTCAAATAAATATTGAGGCTACATGCAGCAACCAACAACGGTCGTACATATTTCATTGTTTGAATGCGAGAATTTTTTTTCAGACTGAGTGCCCAACACTAATGTAGCAAGCATGCCTCCAGAGGGCGTGCTACACCACAATAGACCATTCAAATGCAGAACTAGTGTAGCCATTATGATTGTAATTTACATTGAAAAGGATACTATATAATAAATCTCCTGATATCACCAACAGTGTGGGTATTGTTGAATTGACCACTAAGTCTGCAAAAAAAATATATAAATAAAATATGTACATACACATATACATAAAAATAAAAATTGAATTGCAATATCAACTGAAATTACATTTAATGAATAATAGAATAGTATGAAAGATTCTAGAAAATTTATTCCAGTTTATCTGTTCTGTCTGAGATGAGTTTGTTCACTTTTTTTTCTAGAAATTAATGCTGCGATCCGGTCAAAATTACAATGCAACATTTCATAAGTTTTCTTTGATGCAACAAAGATCAGATCACCAGATCAATTCATCTCGCGATGAAAAAGCATGAAAAAATATCCCATTGCTGATAAGGGTGTCAATAAATGATATTTAACACAACAGCGAATAAACTCTGGTTTTAAAGTGTTTCATCAATCTATAGACACAACAATCACAACACAACTACATGAATTGTACATTGAATACTGCAACTTCAAAAATGTAACACAAATATTGAACAGAAATACAACAGTAAACACCTACTTGATTTTGGCATTTGAAACACCCACTTGTTGACATATATGGGCATGTAATTTATTAATTATTCAAGTGGTGACCTTTGGTACTGACTCACAGGATTGAGTGGTTTTTCAAAGGCTAAAGGTCAAGATATGCAAAATTATAGCGGGTGAAAAAAGAATTGTATAGCAAATTTTCTGAAATTAATTTTTCAGTAGAAAAGCAGAGAAAACAAATGGAGGCAGCTGGGGTACAACAAATCTATGGTAAATGATGCATATCAAATTCTTCAACTCGTGTCTGATTTTCAGCTTTTGCATTACATTACATCAGAGGTTAAAACTGATGGGAGTCACCAACACTAACCAGAACCAGATTTCAATTAATCTAAGGCACTTGAGGTGGTATTAACCGTATGTCTTGTGATTGCATGTCATAGTAAAGAAGTACTCTAAATACCAGACTGTGTATGTCAGCATGGTGTGTGCACAAAGGTTTCCTGTCTGTTGCATGGCACTGACAGACATGTAGGATCTGCCATGACTAGAAAGTTATGAAATACAATATAAACAAGAATCCCATTACGCTTTCAAAATAAACATCATGGACTGTGTTTTGTTTAACCTGAGATTCAAACATTAGCCATGCAATTAAGAAAAATTTTAAAAACAAAAGATTATATTGAATTTGTGAATTTTAGATGGGATTGTCACCATCCACAGGTTTCAAAATAGATTTATTTAGGTTTCTACAAGTAGAAAGTATATCAACGTCACATAGAAACTGGAGGAATATGTTAATCAAGTGCGTATGAACTATTGGCTTTAACTAAAAACATGCACCTAAACACATTACTAAGTAGCTACAAGTTAAGGTAATTTCATCAACAACTTAGAATCAACATTACCTTGATCCATCTGCTAATCGTAATTGCAGCTGAGTTATTGGTTTGTTTTTATCTACTTCTATAGGATTGGTATTCAGTACATTGGCTGGTACAGAAGGTGTACTTTGAGTTACTACTTTAGGAGTAGGACTGCAAATATGAAATGAAAAACGAGAATAAAGTCAGAGAGTGATACACCAAATTCATAGATTAAATAATAAGAGTGGACTGAAGCATAATTAAATTATAGATGAGAAATAACACTATTTTTAACTCACTTTCCTAGTTTAAATCCTTCCCCTGTAAATGGTTTGAGTGCTTGTTTTGCAGGTACATATTCTTCATCACGGTGGTCTTCCATATCCAGGTTCACCTCACCACCTTTCGCCTTATTATGCAGTTCTTTAGGTATCTCACTGCGAATAAACATAAATTGAAGTTTACTTTCTTTTCAATACTTTTGTGCAGAGTTCAAATATTCATGGTGAATGTTTTTCATGTGCAACTTGCAAGTAGTCACAGTAGATATAGTGTATTTTGCCACAGAGACTATATTCTGTGTTTAGAACCATGTGACGGTTTTCTTGTGATATCCAAATTAGGATATATATATCAGAACAAGCAAAATACATTTCATAATACTGGGGATATCAAATGTTTGCGTAATCACTGCTACAGTCAGTGTTCAAATGTGTTGAATTTTACCCAATAAGAAAGATGTTCATATCATAGTGAACCAATTTGGCTGTTTGAATTTCTTGTCAGTATTTCATTACATTCTGTACAAATCAATCCGGCTGATCTGCACTGGCTCGGAAGATGAATTCTGATTGGCTAAAAAAACAAAAAACTTGTGGCATTGAATGCACGTTCATTGTCAGTATTGTTATGCAAATTCAAACTAGCTAATCATTTACAACCTTCCGAGCCAGTGCAGATTAGCCCAATCAATCAATCAATTGGTTGCGATGGAAAATTGGAATAAAGTAGTAGTGTGAACGAGACAAAATTTAGCAATAATATTATAATACAAATTGGTTCTATTTATGTGATAATGCAATAAAAATGACATTATTATACACTCGTTCCTTAAATTGTCTGCAGTGCTGATACTTGATAGTAAGTTAGGAATGCAAACTTACCCTTTTGTAACAGAATTTAGGAATTCGGCATTTTTGGGGTCACTAAACGCTCTCAACTCTGTATCATTAACGGTAAATCCATTTTTCCAGAGTTTGAGAACAACATGCATCTATTGAAAAAATAAACAAATATGATCATCAACATTTATAGAGAATCAGATTATTGATATTAATGTACAAGACATGCAATTAACATTAATACAAAGTGACCAGCTGGACATGATATCTTCTTCTGATTTAATAATCTTGTGAATCGACAAAGACAATTACATACATCTTTGGGTTGGTCTTGTTTTGAGCGAGATGTTCCTGGAACTGGTCTTACATCACCTCCTTCTGTATCTCCAAGTCTGTAGCCAGCACCTCCAAATGATGCACCAGCCGAACTACCACTAGGAACTGGTGTAGCAGCTGACACTTCCTGAGCTCCATGTCTGGATCAAACAATCATGTTATTAAAATGGTATGAATATGTTTGTCTTGAAGCAGGATTGATAAATGTACAGTTCCTCAGTTGACGAGACAGTGTGGTGTGGATTGAAGAGGGTTTGAATTAAAAAGCAAACCTAAGTGTAGTACAGTGCAAAGCAATATTCAGCATGTGAGGTTTTAGAAAAAATATCAAGAAAGATTGGAATGATTATCACATAAACAATATATTGTTTGTTTAAACTTACTCTTTGGCTGATTGAAACATTTCTTCTACTATTTTACTAGCTTTCTTTTTTTTAGCTGGACCAACTATTTGTTGCCCACTGTAAAATGAATATATATTAACACAAAATAAATGGTCAAGAACATAATGTTTCCAAATACCATGGCATGATTACAATAGATCAGAGGAACAGCAGACACAATGGCAGGAAAGAATGGAACATTATTTGTTTGGTTAAAATAAGTCTTGTTGGTCCTTCACTCTACATGTGATCTCAGCTGTCATCACATCTAAGGCCCATTGTTTCAATATGATATATGCTGCGTATATAACCAGATCATGGAATGAAAGTTTAATGCATAGTACATGGTACAATAAACATCATTAGCATCAGTTGCGAGAAATCTTGAATTCTAAAAATTAACGCTCTCCCTACCTTCCTCCTCGTTCTGCTCCCCCAGCATAAAATGTCTCTCCTTCATCTTCACTGCTATCATCTTCATCTCCAACAGGCATCATATCTGATAAGGTTGCGAACCTGAGATACAAGTTTGGTGATCAGCATAAGCAAATAAGAATAATTATTTGTTTCTTAGCATGTAACTTAATAAATAAAAATCCTTAAATTGCTGGCTGGGCTACTATTTTGAAAAAGCCAGGAGTTCATCAATTATGTTTGATACTTGGTTAACGTGCGAACACAAATATATAAATTAAACAGTTTGTTACTTTATAGTTGGTATACTGTTAATGTAAGACATCTGGCAATCAAGGGTTAAATTTGTAAATTTGTAATACCGGTAGTTCATTTTGGCTACTAATTTTGGAAAATTAAGCTACAATATCACAATTACTGCAATATCTTTTTTTTAAGTATGTAAATTATTCACAATAAGTTCTGATTGTGGAATTTCATTAAGTACATTTATATATCATAAACATCATCCAAATCACAAGGTTTTCTGGTTTTAATCATTCATTCTCTCATTTGGGACTCTTTAATTCACATCTTACACAAAATACGTAACTTCAGCTTCATAAAGTGGTAGAGCCAGCAACTTGAACGCTTGTAAGACAAATATAAATAATAATACCATGTAGCAATATACTCGATGACTTACATGTCCGAACTAGGTTATTAGTCAGAAATTTAAAAGTGCATGTCAAAAAAAAATATGTTAAAAGGATGCTTTTGAGCATTATAAACAACAAAAGAAAAAAGCTATTAGGAAACAAGCATTAGATATGCAAGTCTATGATAGAGTTTAGGTGTTTCCAATAAATCTCTCTTTATCTGACTGTGAAAATGCCACTGTTGACTATTCTTACCGTGAACCACCAGTTGCTGAGTACGGTGGTGGGGCTACTCCTTCTGGTTCACTGACCCTACCTCCAACACCAGAGGGCAGTGTATCCGGTGTGTCATCCATCTCAGCTTCATCATAAAATGAAGCAATTGCTACCTAGAAAATAAACAAGATAAAAAACCTTAATTAACCATACGAGTTACAGACACCATTCGCAAACAGAAGAAACCATATCTGGCCAGTGGTCAGAGTCATCACACCAAATTTTGGGTTAATAAACAAAGCATTTGACTCGCATACATTTGTAGTATTCTCGACCACGGACTGACATAATATTTGCATGGTATGTCTATGGAGATTTCAATGAGGAAAACGTGGTGAAACCCGTGGGTAAAACAAGAATGGCTAATTTACTATACTCTGTGCTAACTTTTGTTTACATTGTTCAGAAATGTTGTGATCTGAAATAAATGCAATTTCAGCAAGATTATCCTCAATAACTATTTTGTTATTTAGTTGAATGTGGTACAACACCTAGATGTCTGCTTGAGAATGGGAAAATAGTGAACTCACGTGAATTCACTACTGATCTAGTAAGTCTTCAACTTACAATGCAGAAACAGCTTGAATACTTCGTCAATTTTACTGATTTTTCACCTCCAGTTATCATAATACAGCAGAAATCGTTTTTTTTTTTTTTTTTTTTTTTTGCAAGTCATAATTAGTTCGAGTGGAAGAATGCCTCGTCATCATGAACATATAGCCAAAACTGTCAATCGGGCGGAATGTAAAAAAAGCCGCTTTCACGACTGCTTCTTTGTGTTTCTTTAAATACTTCAGACGCTACAAGTTTACCAGAGTCGTACCGTAGTACACACACGCCAACTGACAGAACATGTTCGTTCGTTAATGCATGTAAAACTGTTATTCCACTGTCAGCCCACATAACTGTATCTACCATTGCCTTTGAATTAGTAAATTAGTCTGTTTCCCAGACTGTACAAAAAAACTGGATGAGTTTAACAGGTCTAATTCTGTTTTAGAGGATGAGACAGCATATATATAAACAAAGAATATCGTCAGCCCAGCGATGTCAATTGACGAGTTTCTAAGCATCTGAGTGAATGAATATGTTTTTCTTTGAGTCTGAAAGAGGTAGATATTTACCTGCAATTGCCAGCCTGATGATTCAAGAAAAAACTGCGCCCTTTCTAGATCGCTCCCTGTAATATTCGTAAACTCCGTGACCATCTCATCGTGATCCGCCATTTTGATTTCCTGGTATGTAGGTTTGTTTATATTTCTCTTCTCCATTCATTAATCATTAAATTTGAGAGGCTGCTTAAATAACTTAACAACATAATACCAATCTTTATCGTACATAATATAATTTATAATGCACAGAAGAACAGATATCTAATATAATGGCAACAACTGTAATATCTGCGAGTACTTTCTCGAAATGTGTTCACACACGAACGCCCTCTGGCGGCCATTTTGAACTACTTTTGTTTTTTTCACACTCAATAGTTCTCTGAAATAAATGTATCCTCGGGGGCGGACATCCGGGCATTTTCACAGCCTGGCAACCCGCGTCGGTGAAAACAAAGGCCCAAAATTCACAGAAAACGGTACTTTGGGATGATTGTTGAGCCTCCTCTGAACAGTGTAACAAGATTAGCCCTACGTGTGTAACATATATAAATTTGGTTGTTCAGGATTACTTCAAAGTTGAGTTTGTGTTGTTTTCTCGAATTTTCACCGGCTCGACCGGCGTTCCACAGCAGCGCGCACAGAGCCCATTGAAATGCATGTACAGTGGTGCACGTCGTAGAAACGTGGAACGTCTTGTGACGTAGCCCCCGAGGACATGTTGTAAATCCGTGGAAAGAATATATAATGTATTTTTAACATTGCATGTAATATTCGAAATTTTCATGAATAATTCAAATGCAATACGAAAAATTGTTCGAAATTCGTGATTTAACTACTGAACGTTTTATTTCATTTATGGGGAGAAAATTTTCCATTGTGTCACGGTATATTGAAAAAATATTACGACTTTTAAAATTCAATAAATTAAATGTTTGTTATTTTGTTGTTGTTTTTTTAAATGGTTTAACAATATTCGTATTCATATAACTAATAATATACGACTTTCTCGCCAAGTGGGGAATAAATCCAGAGCAAAAATGCAAAATTTTACCGTCTTGCAGGATATTTCGGACTATTGCTTTTCTAAGAATTGTGAAATTTTAATGTTCTGTACAATTGTGACATTAACCCATAGTAGTAAAAACATGAAGAAGATGGCATGTGATATATAATTCAGTCTGAACCTTTCTAACACGTATAGTAATATCCACTATATACTATTTATATCTGTTTTAGATTGTTTTGAACACCCATCCGGCCCAATAGAATTAAAATACTGATACATGAGGCTGATCAAAACCTCTATTCCCCATAAATGGCGTTGTTGTTTTATTATTCAGGTATTACAATTGAAGTGGTATGTGAAAAAGATGTCATGTTTTGTACAATTGCACTCGTATTTATTTCAAATTTCACTTGGTAAATGAATGTAGATAAGAATTAGCCCAGAATAAAAATGTCACCAAATTGTCATTCATTGTCTACTTCAGCACATCCCCTCAATACATGGACTGTGGCAGCCCCTCATTACATGGACTGTGGCAGACCCTCAATACATGGACTGTGGCAGCCCCTCAATACATGGACTGTGGCAGCCCCTCAATACATGGACTGTGGCAGCCCCTCAATACATGGACTGTGGCAGCCCCTCAATACATGGACTGTGGCAGCCACTCATTACATGGACTGTGGCAGCCTCTCAATACATGGACTGTGGCAGCCTCTCAATACATGGACTGTGGCAGCCCCTCAATACATGGACTGTGGCAGCCACTCATTACATGGACTGTGGCAGCCTCTCAATACATGGACTGTGGCAGCCCCTCAATACATGGACTGTGGCAGCCCCTCAATACATGGACTGTGGCAGCACCTCAATACATAGACTGTGTCAGCCCCTGAATACATGGACTGTGGCAGCCCCTCAATACATGGACTGTGGCAGCCCCTCAATACATGGACTGTGGCTACAGTGATTAAACAGCAGCAGCAGAACAATGTTTGTTCACACACAAAAGATACATCTGAAATCATCGGCTCTAAGAAAGTGTATCTGGTAGGCGTGTATTATTACAGTACACTTTTTGAGTTGTTTTTTTTATCAATTTTCTGTTTTTGCATATGCCACATGACTACCATCATCACACGATTGTTATCATGATTGTTACTGTTGTTGTCGATGCATAGCAAGACGTGAACTAGTGGACACCCCGTTGACAATTGAAACACAGGATGTAAGAAGAACAGTAATGTGAACACCATTTTTTTGAAATAACACTGACTATTTATTATATGAAATAATCGTAGTCGTGTGTAGATTTTTTTCTGGTTATACTGACATAACTCGTTGATAATATAAACACTTTAGCACAGTGTCTATATTGGTTATACAACTGCCGCTTTTGTGTATATTCAGTGTTAAAGTTGAACGATAATTTTAGATTGAATTGTATTACTGTAAAAGGGTTAATTATTCACTGGGTTTTAATTTAGCTTATTTCGCTGACTGGAAAATGCGCTAAATTATAACCCAGAGTATATGTAAAATTTAACATACAAGTAGAACATATTATCTAAAACCCACTGAATATGCCTGATATGGTAAATCAGTGAAATTTAAACCCAGTGAAAATTAGTCATTTTACAGTATGCGGCTGTTATATAATCTATTTCATGGTATGGATATGCATAAATGTTCAGGAAATATTTTAGTAATAGCCGGAATTTGCACTTAATGTGAATTAGGGGAAAATAAAATTTGAACAAAAAAAATATCAATTACAAAGATGAAATGATCGCCAACATTTGGACGCGCAAAAAATCGTTGAAGATTGAATATTTAGTTTTGTCATGTGCCAGTGTTAAACTTGAAGTGTAACGAGGTTAGGTTTGAAGTATATCAATGTAAGACTTGAATCATACCAATGTTAAACGTGAAGTATCATTGCTAGACTTGCAGTATCAATAATTTTAGATTCAAAGTATATCTATGTTAGACGTGAAGTTTCAATGTTAGATTTGACGTGTGTTTGATTTGAATTGATGTAACAGTTTCAATGTTTTATTTCAGGTGTGGTTGACTTCAAATATCAATGTTAGCCTTGAGGTACCAATGTTAGGCTTGAAGTGCCATTACTAGACTTGAAGTATGGCAGTGTTGACTTGAAGTACATCGATGTTAGATTTAAAGCGGGGAGTCGTCATCTGCGCATGCGTCAGATGGCCATAGCGTGTCACTGTTTACAAACAAGCGTCTGCCCGTGAGCCTTTGCGTTTTTAGCGTGTGTTGTTGTCGTCGCTTGGGACTGAATTCCATGCGTGCGCAGGTGACGACCCTCCCGCTTTAAAGTATACCAATGTCAGACTTGACGTATAACAATGTTAATCTTGAAGTATCAATGTTAAACTTCAGGTATCAATTTCAGACTTGAAGTTTATTTATGTTAAACGTGTAATGTCATTGTTTGATTTGATGTAGCAATGTTAAAACTTGGGGTATCAATGTTAGACTTGAAGTGTCGATTATACACTTGAAATATCAATAATAATGATATACTTGACAAGAGTGTTGGTCTTCAAGATAAAACAACGTATGGACTTAAAATGTGATACATGTAAATAAACCACAATTTCAAAATACCTATGTGTGAGATATTGTTATTTACTTAAAGTTTAACAAAAAGAATTCAATGGATACTGTGTGTTATGAATTTGGGGACTGCAGACACTTCGGTGGTGATATCGCGTTTCAATGGTCTCTGTCGCCTTAATTCAAAACATAGACCCAATTGTGAGGGTTTGCTCGACGTTCTGACTAATAAGTAAGATTTGAATGAACTTTGTTATTTGCATGAAAAGTTCGGTGACTTTATTGAGGGGAGTGCTTCGTATGGGGACAAACCTGTTTTATTTATTATGTGGTATAGTCTCTAGACCGTATACAAATAACCCAGAGTCTGTTTTAAGCATTGTGTGGCTAGTATAGCACGGTTCAGTGACCGAAAACAGGACAAGGATCGGTTCTGATTTCGACACATAGAAACACGTTTTTTGTATGGATTCAATGACTCATGTATCCCAGGATATAGTATAACATGCGTAATAATCACGATGAAAGCTTAAACATTTCGTGGAGCAGCTAATGTTCTGATTGAGTAGATGTGTGTCAAAGAGTTACATCTGCGACGGTTTAACACCCCTCCCACTTTTCATTGCAATTACTGGATTTGTATCAATTCATTTAATCGTTATCGCAACAGCAAGTAACTGAACTAAGTCAAGTTTACGATATTTCGGGACCATCTAAGTACGTACATTGTTTTGGGAACCGATGTTGAAGAAAAACACATGCTGGTCTTCTCTGAGTAAACAGCAATGAACAATCGGACTTTTTTCAAATATATAGATTTTCTAACCCAATAACTTAAAACTTAGGGTCGATTTGAAGATGTATAACCATTCAAATATCATGTTATGTATTCAATTTTTATTCAAAACTGTTCTCTATGGTACATATGTTTTGCTTAATGTCTGTCAGTATAAAACACGCATGAGGTATCGACCCGCTGCGTTTAACAAATATGTACTGATACAATAGTTTTAACTGGTCAAGACCGGTTCACGTTTGTGTGTACGCGAATTGAATATGAAAAACTCTTGATGTATCGAGGAACGAAAAATATACTTGTAAATAACTACAAATCTAAGTGTTTGTTTATACTAGTTGAGATGCTATAGTTCTGTTAGTCTGCGACACAGATCAGTATAGAATCCATTGTAAACGTATATGTACTAAACTATACTACGAATAAAATAAATGACCCTGTCCTAGAAAAACAGACGATAAAACAAATGATACTGGCATTCCTTCGACACAATACTGAGTTACAGTTGATTTAATAGCTGACTTGAAAACATGAAGACCATGTCCAAGTACTGCGCATGCGTGGCTAGATATGACCTTTTAAAATTGAAATTTAACCCTGGTCTGGAAACCATCCAAACTGTTTATATCAACAGCGTAGCATGATTCAGAGTCAAATTGTCTGATAATGGGTCTCGGTATCGGCACTTTAAAACAGCCACACTCTTAGAAGAACGAGCAGTTCATCGTCAGCTTATACTCAGGCGTGTATTAGAGAATTAGGTCTCCACTGTAATCGCATTTGTTTATTCAACAATGGAGTTCGCGTTAAAAGTTGTCTACTCTATGTGTTTACTTTCTGTTACCATTGCAGGTAGGCTCATATATTCCTGATTCACTCATTGCATGTTATTGCCACGATGTCAATATATTTACTGTATACATGGTTGCGGTCAGTGATGCCCGTTCAAAAATAGTTCTCGCAAACTTATATTTAAAAAATCGTTCACATAGTTTAACGTTATACAATGTTACCTCTAGAGTTTGGTCAATGATGATAACTATTCGATATATACTCACGATGTCTGCAACCCCACAAGAAAGTATATGTTCATAATCATGAAGTAAATTTGTATATCTATAGCAACAGGGCAATTAGGTTGCATCAGTTGTCAACGGAGTTAACTCAAAGTCGGTGCTCATGATTGGAAATGTTTTCATTCCGTATTTTCATTTTTAAGTATGTTATTGTTGATTCCGTGACGCTGCATGGCGAGCCGAACATGTGTGCTGCATTGACATGTTGGTGTATGATTTACTTTTAAACAGTTTAACAAAATCCAATGATAACAACATACGGAGTATATAATATTTATCATCGACATTGTTATCGTGTTCGGTGTTGTTTTGGAAAGACAGCAGATACTCTCTAGATCTATGCAATCAGTGTTCATTAAACTTTCAAGAATCCTCGGTGAAACAAGTAAACAAAACATTGTGGTCGGTGAATTGGCTAACAGATGTGCGCCAGGCATGTCAGAAAATGTTGAAGATCCTGGGAGAAATTCTTCAAATACCATACCGTGGTCATATTAGTATAATTGAACATAAAGGTTACAAGTACAATCAAGCGTTTGAAGTTAATTAGCTGTGTTGATGTCTGAATTGAATGTAACCGTTCTTAGTATAGTGAAATGCTAGATAGTTCTCACCAGCATGGCGGAGAGACCTTTAGCCCAGAAAAAAGTATAAGATGCAAAAGGTCACACTACAAAATATTTATCAAATATCTTGAGTTTTCGCGCGACTGGATTAAACAAGTTGGGAGTGACGTCATACTGGCTGTGTTCACTTTGGCTTGTTTTTACAAAGAGTTGAAATACGAGTAAATGTGATCGGATGGAAATTAATCAACACAATTTATCATGTTTATAATTTGTGTTAGTAACCATAACATAAGGTCAATGTTGACGTTTAAAACCTTAGCTAAATACGAACAACTCTACTTATATAGAGTCTGTAATTTAGTAAGCCATGTATAAACATAGATAATGTTGACATTAAATTAAAATGAAAATAAAAAGCTGTAAGTGACAATGATAATAAGTTCCGCCAAGCACGTATATAACCAATAATTACCGACTACTAAACGTACAGTCGCTGTAAGTCGTCAATTCATTGTCAAATTTAATGTTAAACATATTGGAAATTCCGGATCGCGAATGAGTGTGTAGCTTAAATGTCATTGTTAATAGTTGTACCAGGCATTGATAGTCACGCTGGTTGTATAGATCAGAATCAATAGATCTGAATATAGTCGTGGGGTCCACTGAATGAAACTAAGTTCATACCGTGACTCCGCAGTGTGATCATATGAAAGGACATGTACATCAACATACAGAAAGATTCTAGTATTAACTGATTAAAGCACATTTTAGTATCCGTCAAATAGACTTATAATCGACATTGTTACTATATTATATCTATACATATAGTTTCTATATCTTGTTTTAGAAAAAAATGCCTGACCTTTATTGATAAAAATTGTCTTAGATGTTCCCTATGCAGATTTCGTGTTTCTAGTCACAGATTGCGCATCGAGAAGATATTCACAGTGAAAGAAACATCTCTGCGTCTTAATATTATAAATACCCATCATTTATAAAATTTTAAATTCTCATAATCCTTGTGTTCTTTGAAGACAATATTATTGTGTTGTATATAAGACCAACTGCCTACAATACTGTAATATAATATAATATAATATAATATAATATAATATAATATAATATAATATAATATAATATAATATAATATAATATAATATAATATAATATATAATATAATATAATATAATATAATATAATATAATATAATATAATATAATACAATCGGGTGAACGCGGTGCTTTTCAGCGCTCCCCGATTTTCTGCCTGTTTTGCGTTTTTGCGCTCGTTGTGCGCCCGTGTTTCTACACAGCTATATATATAGTGTGTCTACCCTT